CCCCCCTTTCCCCGGGACTCTCCCCCCTGGGAATCCTCAATCCGCGATACTTCCCAACCCTACGAACCCCCCTTCCCTGGGAACCTCCCCCCTCAGCGATCCCTCCCCCCAAGCCCGTTTCTTCAGCCGCATCTGAAACAAACAAGGCAAATCAAGAATTATTAGCATGATTAGCAACAGGTGACAAAACTGGCATCTACGTTTCTATTTAACCCCTCATCCACGTTGTTAAAAGTTCTGTTCTATGATCATCAGTGGCTTGGCGTGCTTTACGATATATTGATTGTTATGCCACTTAAACCTATGGAAAAGGATCGATAAACAGGGTGTTCATAGCGAACACCTTCATAATCGATTTTTTACCATAGGTTTGAATGGCATATCAATCGATATGTCGCAATTCATGCGCCACTGATTATTAAGCTGGACTTATGGATGCTGAAGAGAACTATTTGCATGCAACATACTTCCTTTTAGCGTATGCATAGGTCCGATATCCATGTGTCCATAGGTCATATCTTGTCAAAATTCTAGTCAAGGCACCATGCCAAAATGTATCAAGTTTTAGGTATTACTTTTTCAAATTAAAATTGCCGTTCCGTGTTGCGTTTTTACTATACCATGCAGCGTTAATCGCAGAAAAATGGTAAAATAGTGCTGCATCCACACTATTTTGCGGGGGAAACGAGGCCGAAGAGAACTTTTTGATTTCTTTTTTTTTTTTTTTTTTTTTTTTTTTTTTTTTTTTTTTTNTTTTTTTTTTTTTTTTTTTTTTGAACTTTTTGGCCTTGTTTTCCCAGCAAAATTGTGCGGACGCAGCACTATTGTACCACCTTCTTACATACTGTCGCCCTTTTGACTTAAAGGCATATCTCAATTTCCACGTGAGCTCTTTTTCGCATATAAAACCATGCTTTTTGAGGCTCAATCGAGATACGCCCTTACGCCAGAGGAGCGGCAGTGCGTCCGGGCTACGTTTATTCTTTGCCGTTTTATTTTTCTCGATAATTTCAAGTTTGCATTCATCTGTAGAGTAACTGAACTGCATCACGCGAAAAGAAACTAATTTTTCTGGCTCACTTAGAAAAATTTATGGCATTTATGTCTTTGCTACAATAAACCGAAAAAGCTAACTCCTTTCTACACGATTCAGTCTTATTACTTTCAGTTGAATGCAGTATTGTTCGATAGTATCACAAGAGAGCCATGCAGAACTGAAAGGAATTGCAAATACTTTTCATCTCTTTCAACAACCGAGGGCATTCAAGTTAAGGATACGATAGAACAAATAGGTACACATTTTGGAGGGCACTACTTCCGTCTTCAATGGCTCATCATGCGGAGCATTTTCTTCGTTTTTTGTAGACCTGAAACAAACTAAGAATGAAAAAAAAGAAAGATTAGTTGGAGCCTAACCTAACTTGAAAAT